GGGATGTTTCTCATCTTTATACCTCACCTGAACATCTAAAGCGCTGAGGTTTTGGACAGAACAGGGTTACTGCACCATCAACAGATGTCAAGGTTTGTCTCAGACAGTTGAGAGAAAACTGGGTCAACTTCTAGGGGTAGATTTCCACAATTTTTTGCGGGAGTGCGGGAGGAGTGCCAGCAGTGAACACAGTGCAGTTGAGCACATCAGAGCACAATGTATGCTTGAGCATTGCTAAATCAGTAAATCAGGCTGTGTAAATCCTCCTCCTGCTCCTTCATGCCTGCTTAGAATTCAAGCTTTAGCACCGAGAGAGGAAAAACATGTACTAATGCAGAAATTCACATTAAAGGGGTCATAGGATGCTACATGCACTTTTACAAGTTGTTTGAACTGAAATGTTGGCAGTGTGTACACAACCACCCTATAATGATAAAAATCCACCCAGTGTTTTTTTTTTATCTCGTTAAATGTTTTCCCCCTTCTCAAATCGAGCCGATCTCAGATGCCTGTTTGTGCGACATCACAAAAAGAGGCCCCTCCCATGATAGTTTGATTGACGGTAGCGTTTCAGCACAGACTGGACTGGTGTCTTACCTCAGACCGGCCCTGAGTGAGCTGTCATCAGTCCGCAATTGTTTCACCGCCGGAGCAAATGTAGACAAGAATGACTCCTAACAAGCAATTGAGGTGTTCTGTTGTTGGATGTACTAATGAAAATAGCAGTCGTCGTTTACTCCCGACATCTGAGCCGCTGAAGACGCAGTGGATTACATTTGTTTCTCAAGGGAATGCGCCCCCGATCTACATAAATGCGTCTATGTTCGCACAAATCCTTCATGATCCAGCCTCATCTACAGGAGTATAATGTTTTGTAATGAATCTTCGCAAATCGCCATTCCTAATGATGTGCTAATTAGCAAGTTTCACGGTGAATGTGGCTAAAGTAAACAGTTTCTCTGAGAGCAGCTCGCAAAAGAGGGGCGGGGTCAGCAGAGCTCATTAACATTTAAAGGAAAATGCTACAAAAACGGCTTGATCTGAAGTGTGCCGTTTTCGACAGGGTAAGAAAAGGTGTTTTTTACACTACCATTGAGAAATTTTAACCAAACTGTTACAGACTTTTCATTAAGACCATAAAGAATCATATAAACTTGTGGAAAATAGGGCAGTGTGATTAATCGAAATCGAATCGAAATCGCGATTTGAGACGTTGCGATTTCCTAATCGCAAAGCCTGCGATATGGATGCGATATTACTCTGTTCAAGAGCATATGCATGACTGCCAGTCTTGAGTTGCAGTCTTACTAACCAATAGAGTGAGCGCACCTCCATTCTCCCCAATCAGCACTGCTCTAGCCAACTGCATAAACACCCACCATTTAAAAAAAATAAAAAAAAAAGCGAGAGAGAGAGAGACAGAGTGGGATTATGGCATCTACTGGGTCAGATCGATAGTTAGGCAAATTAAAACTAAAGAAAAACGTATGCAACTTAAGCTTCAAAATGACAGACAAGGAACAAAAAAGGTAATTTCCAAGAGCTGCGTCACAGCTCTATCAAAAGCTCCCTTATCGGTTCTGTTTTCAGTATTGGCGAATAAAAGATACATTCTTAGATGTTTTTTTTAGTAAGTAAACATTATTTTACACATTTTATCAACCCAACAGATTAATTTGAAATAAGTTTATAATGCATGTTGGCTATTCCCAATTCAGAAGAGCGCACACACAGCCTGTGTCTGTGAATGCTTCTCATACTCGCTCCCCTCTGCCCAACGCGGTGCGAATCCCGTGTCATGGACGAGCCGTTCATGCTTGCTGCACTCACGCAGCCTGTCTTGTAATGCTTGTTTATACTCGCACCCGGCTCCGCATCGCAAGTCTCCACGAGCGCATCTGGCAGTATGGATGAGGCTTGATGTACGCGCGCAACCTGTGTCGACTCACGCCTGGCTCCGCAAGTCTCCACGAGCACATCTGGCAGTATGGACGAGGCTTGCCGCACTCACGCAGCCTGTCTCGTAATGCTCGTACCCGGCTCCGCACCGCAAGTCTCCACGAGCGCATCTGGCAGTATGGACGAGGCTTGACGCACGCGCGCAACCTGTGTCGACTCACGCCTGGCTCCGCGTTAAAAACTAATGTAAATTCAGTCTAACTGCTTGCTAATTTCACTTGAAATGAAATGAAACATTCAGCACATTTTCCACTTGCTTTTAAAATCCCAAATACTTAAAATTAATAAATCAGCCTATATAACATGTAATACTTTAATAATTGACTTAAGAAATACAGTTCTTTATTTATAAACCATAAACAAATAATTTCTGTGAAATTCAGTAATTAAGTTAATTCTGTAAAAGTAGTTATACCATTATAATCTTGCCTGCTGAAAAAAAAAAAAAACAATAGAACCCCTCCCAAAACACAATAACAAATGTAATGGATTTCAGGGTTATAATGGGAATTTGTTTGGTTTTAATGTAAACTATAATGGTGTCTATTTGGTGGATTCTATTGGTGGGATGTAATCTGGCAAATGGCAACCAATAGAACAACAGTAATTCCTATTGGAATAATGCCCAAAACAAAAAGGAATTTTGTAATGATTTAATGGAAACTATAAGAATTTCTGTGATGGATTCTATTGTTTTTTTCAGCAGGGTAATAATACCCATACTGTGCTGCACATTATTGACAATATTGAGCTGAAGCTTGACTTTGCAAATTTAAAAATCGCAATCGCAATATCTGTCAAAAAAATAAATAAAAAATCGCAAATGGATATTTTCCCCCAAATCGCACAGCCCTAGTGGAAAATGGGCATCCTATGACCCCTTTAAGAAAATTATAGTTCCGATTCTGATTGGACGACCTGCATTCAAAGTTGCTGTTAAAATGCCCTTTGAAATTAATATGCATCGCATCTGTAAACGGTCAACAGACTAATTGTTTATTCTGATTTGTGATTATTGACAAACTATTGATATTCTTTTAGCCAAAGTTTTATAAAAGTAATAGGCTGTTCAAAGTAAATGCATTTACACCAGTGTTTTTGGTGGCCTCAACAAACATCTAAGAGGGGCTGCAGATGACTTACAATTTAAAACAGGAAAAAACAACCATTAACAAAACAAAACCTCAACTCAAAATCAAGATGTCTTATTTAATTAACTTCAAGATATTTCTTCAAATGAGGAATCAAACATCCCATGGTCTTAATAAAAAAGGGAGATTTTTAGACATCGAAATGTAATGTATTTTTTTAGGAAATGAATGTGCATTTTTATAGTTATGCCAAGCTCTAAAATATTTTTAGCAGGTAGAATTGAGAGTAAAAAAATATATTTCTTTTTATATTTTTATTTATAAATAAATAATAAATTTATTTATAAATTTATAATAAATGAAAATCACAGGACCTTCGAATATTGTTGTGAGTGACGAGGGTCATTTACACACACACATTAAAAGTTCACACACCTAAGAATCACACCAATCCAGTTTTTCTAAGGCATGGTTCAGCGAAAAAATTAAGATTGTCATAATTTACTCACCATCACGTCATTCAAAACCTGCGTCACTTACTTTCTTCTACAGATCACAAAAGAAGATTTAGTTTAACCAAATTATTTGGTTAACATTGGCTTACATTGTATGGACAAGAACACTGAAACATCTCAAAATATCTTATTTTGAGTTCCACAGAAGAAAGTCATATTTGGAATTATATGAGGGTGATTAAATGATTTATAAGTAGACTATTAAATTAGACTAACAAAGACAGAAAATTTGACAGATGAGGCAACATGCATTTAACCCTTCACATATTCGATTATACACTGCGTAATGTATATGTGAGACAAATAAAGCTTGCAGCTTCACTGCACAAAAAGCTGCTGTAGCTTGAATATAACAGTGCATGTAAAAGTAAAAAGTGACCTTACCACGGTAAAAGCGTATAAACGCCTCATACCTGGAGTGGCTTATTGCTTTGATATGTCATTGTGAAAGCACCTGTCGATATTTGCTTTTAAATCTAGGATAGAAAGCTTAGTAATCTTCAGCAGAGGCTGTTCAAAGGCCCACATGCACAGCTTTCTATTCCAGCAGGACAAGGATTAAAGCATTTAGCGGTCACATCTCTAAATCCCATTTTGCTCATATGGAGGGACTCGAGGCTCTGATGCATCAAGTGATTTGCTGTAAATTTCACAGCACGGCTTAAAAACCACGTCTCTCCAGATTAAACGATGTCGATGCACAATACAAACGAGAAAGACACGTGCGCTAAAAGGGCACAACAGGCCATCACAACCGGTGGCGAGGAATGCCTCGGGAATGTCGGAGCACAAAAAATTAATTACAAAGTACAATACCTGAAGCATACATTCCAATACGCTTGCTCGGCGCGCAAACCATGGGTGGTATGAGAGATAGAGATCTGAACACATTCAGATACAAACCAAATCTATACACAGCTGTGGGCTTCAAAGTGCATTAGATCAGATACGTAAAACGTCCCTGAGCGCATTCGTTCAATCTATACCGTCAAACTTTTTTGGAGCGTGCGCATTCTTTCCTTCTCACAAAATATTCAATGCAGTTTTTTCCTTTGTGCACATTCTAAAGAGAATCCATGTAGTGGTTCTCCTGAAGAAACCTTTATTCTGCTGCAAAGCCTGCCATTCAAGAGACACCTGCATGGAGAACACAAAGAGTACCCACTTGCACCAACTCGCAGTAGGCAAAGACAACCCTGCGACCCACTATCTGTCTTGCTACCTCAGTCGCCGCTACTTAGAGGTTTCTGCCTATACTGCATCCCTCTCATCTCCTGTGGAAGGCTGTGCTTAACTCAGATTCCCTTTTCATCTTTTTCTTCTGCACCGCGAGGGGGGAAGGGGGATGGAAGAAGGGAGAGAAGCTTTTCAAAGCTGCAGGGATTTACCTGTACTCACGGTTGTCCTGATATCTCTTAGTGCTGGCCACCCGCTGAGGCACGGTTTCCATGAGCAGCTTCTGGGTCAGCCTGCTGCTGGGAGTGGGGTCGCTTTCGTGGTTCTGCTCCTGCTCCTGGTCGCACCGCCATTCCTCGTCTTCGTTCAGAGTTGGCAGGTAGCCCGGCAGGGCTTTGCCGTTGCCCGACACCGAGCTCTGGTCGCTGAACAGTTTGGGACTTTCTCCGCCCGTTCTGGTGTATTCCAAGTATATGTCGGACTTTAAAAACAAAGGGTAGGTGTTTTCTTCCATCATAGTCTGAATTTCGGTTTGCGCCTGGTCGAACATGGCGGGATCGATGTGAAGCTTCATCACGCAGTCCTTGATGAAGCTCTTGGTGGCCGGTTTGATCTGCCGGGACACAATTCCGTTGTTATCCAAGATGTACTTTTTGTAAATGGCTTTGGCGAGCTTCAGCATCTTCTCGTTGCCTTCGTTGGCCTCCTGCTTGCGGAAGCCGCTGCAGGCGAACCAGAAGTCCAACAAGTCAGCGCACTCCTCCTGTTTGAGGAAAGTCCTGAACAAGTGGATGCCATCTTGGTCGTCTAAAAGCGAGTGCAAGGACTCCGCCCACTTCAGGTAGGGTGGCGTCGGGGAAGCGCTACCCTCGGGCTCGTAGCCCAGGTCCAGGTCAGGTCTTCTGGGAGTAGCTATGGAGGTCTCGTTCTTGAGGCTCTCGCTCTTAGATGAGTAAAAGCTGTGGCCGTATTGCCGTCCATCGCTGGACACCAGATCACCCTCCTCCCCGGGGACCGGGGGTCTGGGGGCATTCTCAGTGAAGCTGCCGCCCACGTCTGGAAGATAACAGGCCGTCTCGTTTACGCTCATGCTCACAGTGTCTCTGCACCCTGTCCCAGTACAGCCCACAAGGCAGAAAATTTATATCCAGACTTCTAATAATGCCACTGCGAAAGAATTCCTCCTATAAGAGAAGAGAGAGAGAGAGGCATGGGAAAAACCATTCAAAACGCTCGACACGATCAGCGTAAAAACAATGTGGAAAATAGTGCTGATATGTTCAAGAACCAAATAACTGATGCAAAGAATTCTACCTGAATGTGGGTGTAACATTTCATACACGCATATCCACAATAAGAGAATAGCATTACAAGAGGACAGCAGAGTGTGACCAATAACTCAAAATGATTTTATATCATAGTGTTTTCTCAGTATACTGGATTTTACTATGACATAATGTAGCAGATGTATCAAGCAAAACAATCATTTTTGTATCACCATTTGTCACAAGCAGCAAAACAAGCGTATTCCCAACATAAATTCCGTGCACTGCATATCCACCTTTTTCTTCAACGCGGAAGTAAGCCTATGGGTGAGACTTCCGGTTCATTACCTGCTATAGTTAAATAACGAGGAGAATAACAAAGTGCAGTAAACGGTAAAACTGTTTGCACTACAAACCAGTGTGTTCATAAATAAGATAATGCATTAAAATAATATAAGACACACCAATTTTCAATATCAAGCAGAAAAACAAACAGTTTTGTACAGCTAAAAATAGCTGGAGGGTGTGGATGCAGATGAGACCGGAAGCCAGACCCATAGAATTTACAAATGGCTGCACCCATTTATACGACAAGAAAATGGTGGATAGCATTAAAAGATTAGACAAGTTAGTTTATTTGGTTACACTTTATTTTAAGGGGTCCTTGTTACAGTGCAGGCTAATTATATATTTAAGTAGGGCTGAACGATTAATTGCATTTGCGATAATATCGCGATATGAAAAAACGCAATTTTTTTTTTTTACACTCGGTCACGTGACACACGAGAGTAAAGAGGTGTGTTCGACTTGAAGATCGATCGGTGCTCTCGCAATACTTTGATGACACACACCCATCGGTCTAAGCTGCGCTGCTTCAAGTCGAGCGCGGGCCATCAGAAGAAAAATAAAATAAATAAAACTGTAAACAACCAAAGGATGTAACTTAGAATGGGAGATGGATCGGTTTGTGAAAGGGAAGAGAAAAGCCATAGATGAAGTCGCACAAACCCAGGCAAGTGCTGGTCATTCAAAAGCTAAATGCAGAAAATATGACGAGGCATATCTTGCTCTTGGCTTCAGTTGACGCGTCGCGTCGCACCGCAACGCTTTGCTTTAGGATTAAAGGAAATGTCTGTAAACTTGTCCTGGCCTTTTTAAAATACCACTGTGCCCCATAAATATTACTGATAAATGCTTAGTCGCGCTCAGTTGACGCCAGACGTGACAAAGTGACCATTGCAAATCATTTTAACTGCGTGTCAGTTTGTCATTAATAGAACAAGGCATCAGTTTAATGTCGGGTTTTGTCTCGTTGCATCCAGTGTACACAGTGTCACTGATTATAATGGTTCTACTGTATTTTGCCACTCGCGTCCAGTGTAGACACGGTGTTTAATGTCGTTGGTGAGGAAAGCCTGTGTGTGTGTCCTATGCCTTAGCGGACAGCAAGAAACCCACAAAAAATTAATAAATAACAGAGAGAGAATAATAACAATAAGTTATTCTCTCTATGCTATTTTTCAATGTTTCAAGTGATGCGGGTGTTTTTTTTCCCTGTAGTTTTTTTTTTTTAATTAAAAAATGCATACATTTTTCATAATGTTTAGTGAAATTATTTGGTAGTGTGAGGTGGGATTGGGATTTGGGTTGGGGAGGGCAGATTTGTTTATAGGTTTAAAGGGGGGCGCGACCAAAAAAGTTTGAGAACCACTGCATGGTCTAAAGTTAACGGACAGTGTTTAGTGCAGTCCACATGTTTACATATGTTTATTACTGATTTTGAATTACCTAAAGTAGTGTGGTAAAGCAACAGATTTGTTTTTATATTTCTGCAATCTACTTAAGTTTGTGTGATTTGTTACTGACTTTCATATTAATGTTTACACCAGGCTTATTTGTCAGTGCTTTATGTTGTCAATTATTACATTCTTACAAGGTTGGAAATTCAACAAATCAGTCAACATACTGTGATTGTAGTTGTTAAATAAAAATGTCATTCATATCAATTCATGCATCACCTAATTTCATCGTAACATAGGCCTGGCCTACAGAAAAGAACATTTATGTTTAATCTATCTAATATTGTGTTGGTCATACTATACAATGATTTATAGCTTGTCTTTGTTGAATAATACAGAACATACAGAGCTTAAAAAAAATAATTGCATATTAAAATCGCAATTTTGGTAAAACAAAATTGCAATTAGATTTTCCAAAATCGTTCAGCCCTACATTTAAGTACAGAGTAATATTAATTAACTGCATGTACTACTTACTATATGATTAGGGTTTGGTTTAGGGTTACTTGCATGTAATTATGCATAGTTAATTGTTATTATAATCGTAAGTACATGTAACGTGTAACAAGGACAGCTTAAAACAGTGTAACCGTTTATTTTAAGGCGTTCTTGTTACAATGTAAACAGACAATTAAACAACATGTATTTACTATAGAGTTAGATGCTTGCAACTACGCATAATTTACGGTTAGTAAATGTAACGTGACAAGGACACAAAATAAAATAAGTGTTACCATACAAGAACTGAACATTTTCAGTTACACCGAAATAATGGCTCAGTAAACCTTTTGGGCCATTTAAAGCCCGTGCAATCCAGGTTTAATTCAACACTGCGGTGCTCTTCAACCCCATCAAACTTCCAGTGGCCTCAGGCATCTATCTTAAAGCAAAGATAGCAAAAAAGGGCAGCCATCATGGCACAAACACTCTTGAACTCACCTGTGACACCTTTATGGTACGACACCAACCATAAATCCAACACTTTCAAGCTCCGACCTTAAAACCTGTGAGTGCCTGCCAACTAGATTTCGTCTGATGTTCTTGATAAGCGAGCTGAGGAGGAAAGAAACCTGGAGCTTTCCCAGTCAATAACTTGAACAGCGCGAACTTCAATGGCGATGAGCTAGCAGGCTAATCCAGCACAAGACGCGAATTAATAAACATTTTGCGCGCACTAACGCTGTCATTTAAAAACAAAACACCACAGGGGTTAACCCGAGGAGGCTACTAACTAGCTACAAAGCAAAACAAGCCGCGATAACTTCGAAACATAAATAGAGCGAACATCAACCGCATCGCGCGAGGAGAGGAAGAACGTGCGGCGCGAGACCTTCCCAAACAAGTGAGCATAGACGGTCAAACACACTTTCACCATCTTTGAGGGCCCTAGTCAACGTTTGTACCGAGCTTGTTCTGCTGACCCGACTCAACTAGTGTGAGAACACGTTGTCACAGCCATCTTTAACCACTACAAACGCCAATATATCCGATCATCCCACTTATGCACGGGGAAAAAAGCGGCCATCTAAAAACGGCTCGCGCTCGCTGCGTTTTCCCTTCGCTGACGACATTACAACACCCCTTTCGCTGCCCTCGCGATTTCTGCTTTGAAGTGAGCCTCACATTCATCGCATTCATGTCTCGGCCTCAGCAGCAGGAGCGGATGGGGGAGGGGAAAGTAAGAAACAAACTCCACACACACACACACACACACTCATACACATACACATACACACAGCCAGCCAGCCAGCCAGAGCGGCCATCTAAAAACGGCTCGCGCTCGCTGCGTTTTCCCTTCGCTGACGACATTACAACACCCCTTTCGCTGCCCTCGCGATTTCTGCTTTGAAGTGAGCCTCACATTCATCGCATTCATGTCTCGGCCTCAGCAGCAGGAGCGGATGGGGGAAGAAACAAACTCCACACACACACACACACACACACACACACACTCATACACATACACATACACACAGCCAGCCAGCCAGCCAGGCCCTTCCGCAGCCCAGGGACTAGTGTGCAACTTTGCAACACACTGATTTTCGCACTCCAACACGCCGATAATACGCTTTACAAACGCGCACTCGACCTCGCAGAGGATTGGGACGCGAGCGGCGAAAAAGCGACGATGCATTTCATCTCTCCGCTACCGCAAACCCCCATTACACCCAAAACCAGGAGGGGGAGAAAAAGTGTGCCGTACTGTACCTGTGAGAACCTACTTTCCGTTTCCGAGCGCATCGGGAATAGCGTTGTATGCGGCGGGATGCGAATCGTGTCATCGATGCGGGTCTCGGAGTTTAAAAATAACAAAGAAAACAGTCGCTTCTCCACCTCTCCATGGCTGTCTCTCACACTCCTGTGCCCGTGTGCGAGTGAGAGAGAGAGCGCGTGTGTGTGTGTGTGTGTGGGAGAGAGAGAGAGAGATGTGCAGCGCCGCGCATGGACAGAAATCACACTGCCGCCTGGAGAAGAAGAAGAAATAAAGATGAAGGCGAGGAAACCCTGGAGTGTGAAGAGCGCCTTCGCCAATTCACTGCGCTCAGAAACACGTTTAGACAATTTAGAGGTGAACAGCGCATCGAGGAGAATAATTAAAATGATATATGCATGAGGAGATAAGCTAGAAGTCTTCTGGAAAAATGATGTTTTATTTTACATTGAGCAGGTCGCCCCCTCACGGACGCCGCCATGTTGACATCACATGACCTGGCGTGTCATACAGTTCAGTTGCTACTAGTTCTGCTTAATATTGTTTACTTTTCACTTTATGCTCTAAACCAAGCAAGCATACCCAATAATATAAAAGCAAACATAATCTACACTGGAAGAAAACAAACAAACTGTTGGAAGATGCACTGGTAATGCTCTGCCGGGGGTGTTTCTAGCCTTTCCTCGGTGGAAAAAAAAGTGTGCCCATATTTTGATGCTCTTTTTTTTTTATATAGTGTTTTGGGTAGAAATGGATATGAATCTTTTTTTTCCCTGTTGTTCACAAGCTGTCGATGCAAAAAAAAAAAAAAGAGCTGCTTCGTTGTTGACACATGTTAGAAGACGTTTTCAAGTTTTGTTTCCTATCGACCTCATCTAGTGCTCTTTTTGTTTTGTTTAGTTTTTTTCTCCTATAAAATATCCCATTACTTTTGCGATGTTAGAAACCGCTGCAAGCGATTCAGTGCATGAGTAAACTGTCCTAATGAATCAAACTGAATCGCAAACCATTTGTAGAACCTGTTTGACCCATTAGATCAAAACAGTGATTCATTCACAAATCTGGCATCACTTGTTCTGACTCGAAACAGCTCGGAGAAAACACTGACTGCTGAAATATTATCAGAAAAAAATGAATCGCATGCACGTGTGCATATACAAGTGTAAATATATATACACTTATGTATATATACTTGAACACACATTGTATGGTAATCTTTATATAAGCATTTATCAATCATATTTTTGGGGCACTGGTATTTTAAAAAGGCCAGGACAAGTTTACAGACATTTCCTTTAATTCTTAAGCAAAACACATAATGTGTCATTTGAAATACGAAATACGGGTAAAACTCCTGCGAAAAATCAATATGGAAAATTACCTTCATATTAACACAGCAAATAGACCTTTAAGAATAAAATTCTTGATAGGAATGAAAATGAGGCTGCGAGGCATAGAAGTACATTGAATTGGACTGTTGTTTAACAACATACAAATCGTTTGACTGATGAAACATCTTTACAAAAGACGTTAAGTGGACAAAAATTTTGTTTTTTTTAAAACTTGTGAGTTTTAAAAAATTACATGTGATCTAGGACCTTTATACAGGGCATGGCACTGTGAAGACTGCGAGTCTTACAATGCAAGTATACAATGCACCCCCTTTTTCATCCACATAAAATTCAATATGACATCTATAAGTTTATTGGGCCCTATTTTTACAGATTTTTCTTAAAGTCTATGTACTGCTGACACAATATTACTACGAAGCCTGAGTCAACATCGTAATCTTGAGTGATCAGCATGTGTGAAATCCACTAATTATAAAAAATATCCAAACAAGCAATCATTCCCTGCTATAGTGATGAAACCTAAGCAATGACCTCCGACTTCCATATATACAGTACAGACCAAGGATAAACAGCAGGACATCAAGCACCGAGTGCAAATTCACAACAGTCACAGCTGCCACACTGCAAAACGCCTCCAGAACCACCAACAACATGCAAACGATTCTTAAGAGTGAATGCAAGAATATGTGCATAGTAGAAGGCAAAAACAGATGAAAAAGAACAAAACAAAAAAAGAATTAAACAGCAATGCGAAGAGGCAGCAGTTAGTAAACAAACTTCATCTAAACTGATAGGTCACACACTAAATGCAAACAAAACATACTGAGTGCACCTCTATTCATTTTGTAAGCATTCTGCAGATGTGTCAGTCTGCTTGATTTAGACTCAGTGTGCAGTAGTGTGTATGTTGGTCAGTACAGTCACTGTGGACTATAACCTTGAGGAAATGATCTCAGTTTTCCATCTGCAGTGTCACTGACACACATTTCATGGCTCTGCCGTGACAGCTTGGACATGCTATCTGTTTTTAATTCCTTCCAGCTATCAAGGTGCTGTAATCTAACCAAGTTTTTGAGAAGTTTGCCAGCTGTAAGTTAATCCCTTCCTTGTATGACAAGTTCCTTTTGTGTGCAATGCGCAAATATTATTTGCGCATAAAGTTCTTGTTTAAATTTCAGTTAAACATACTGAAAAATAACTTAAAACAAAATCCTCAGCCTGAACTTAGCACAGTAAAACATGAGAAACCTGAGTCTGAAAAGGCCTCCACATCTCTCTCAGTGAGAGAAGAGATTAGAATCAAGGTACATTTCGGATTGTATCTCTCCATCTGACAAAAGATGAAAGCATCGTGGTAAAAGAAAGAATGCAGGAGATTTAAACACTGTTCTTTTCTTTCAGTCATTAAAAAGCATGCAGCAGGAAGTACGTCGCTTTATAATCCTGCTCAAGAATGGTTTTAAAGTCTTATAAACCGTACAGATATTACTGGAAATGCAAATAACCTCCGTCCCATTTTTAGCCTATTGAAGACTAAGAGCAAGAAATGTGTCATCAGAGTGGACACAGACCGGTGAACATTGCACGTGAGAGAGTCACAACCTCTGCAAATGATATGCAGAAGATCATTCTGGATTTATGAGTTAGTTCAGTGAAGGAATTCATGTCTTATCACTTACAGGCCGTATAGTGTTAAAGGACCTACCTTTGAAAAAATTAGCAGGCCTTAAAGATGAATATTACTTTGTATGCGCTGAACCTCTGAAGTTATGACTCAACACCTGGATATAATCTGGCATGTAATCTCATGGATTCATTGCAAAAAGATCAAAGGCCTTTGGAAAGTGAAGTCCTGTTCCTCCTTTTTATGACTTTATTTGATTAGCTCATCTGAAAATGAAAGACTGGTTTGTGTGGAAGCATTACTTTAATGACATATTACAAATTGCTCATGGGAAATCAAGACTGGGTGTAGTTAGGGATTCATCTCGGAATTTGACACACCTTAACATTCACAAAAGAACATTAAAGGAACATTTGTCATGGTTTGCCAAGCCAAGGTCACCAAAAATTTGCTAAGAAATTTTGATGACCATGCCAAATGAACCCTTAATTAGCTTTTTGGGTTGTGTATAATATTCAATATCGTTTGAATTTGGTAGGATTTTGAAATTATTTTTTTATGCTTACTAAGTCTGCATTTACAATTAAAACAGTAATATTGAAAAATATTATAACAATTTATAATAACCATTTTTTTTTTTATTTGAATATTTTTTTCAAATGTAATTTATTCTTGATGTCATGCGATTCTGGCATGTAATCTCATGGATTCATTGCAAAAAGATCAAAGGCCTTTGGAAAGTGAAGTCCTGTTCCTCCTTTTTATGACTTTATTTGATTAGCTCATCTGAAAATGAAAGACTGGTTTGTGTGGAAGCATTACTTTAATGACATATTACAAATTGCTCATGGGAAATCAAGACTGGGTGTAGTTAGGGATTCATCTCGGAATTTGACACACCTTAACATTCACAAAAGAACATTAAAGGAACATTTGTCATGGTTTGCCAAGCCAAGGTCACCAAAAATTTGCTAAGAAATTTTGATGACCATGCCAAATGAACCCTTAATTTGCTTTTTGGGTTGTGTATAATATTCAATATCGTTTGAATTTGGCAGGATTTTGAAATGATTTTTTTATGCTCACTAAGTCTGCATTTACAATTAAAACAGTAATATTGAAAAATATTATAACAATTTAAAATAACCTTTTTTTTTTTTATTTGAATATTTTTTTCAAATGTAATTTATTCTTGATGTCATGCGATTCTTCAGAAATCATTCTAATATGTTGATTTGCTGGTCAAGAAACATTTCTTATCATTAACAATGTTTAAAACAGTTGTGCTGCTAAATATTTTTGTGGAAACCATGATACATTCTTTTCAGGATAATTTGATTTATAAAGTTTCGTAGCATTATAAATGTCATTATTTGATTGATAAAGTTTTGTAACTTCATAAGTGTCATTACTGTCACTTTTGATAAATCTAACATGTCCTTGCTGAAAAAAACAAAAGCCTATATATGTATGTATGTATGTACAGTATGTATATATATATATATATATATATATATATATAAATAAATTAGTTAGCAAGATTCTAAAAGTACTCTGTAAACATATAGCCATTCATAACTATATATTTGCACTCAGTAAGTTTTGTTCCCATATGTCAGTTAGTTATATGAATGAAAATGCATTACCTGAGGAAATCGTATGTTTCTGTCTTGCGTTTTCTGGCTTCCCCCAACTCTCCCTCCACTGACAGAAGATTCCATTTCAATACCATTGACTGTATCAAGTTCCAGTAAAAACTGCATCCTCCTCTTTTTCAGAGAATCCAAGGTGATTGTCCACAAAAAATCGGTCCATTCCAGGTTATCGACTGTGTCCATTCGAATCTAAAACACAGGTATGAAAAAACTGTAATATCAAATCTTTTTCAACAGAAATTTCCAACAATGTGCTTCTTTAATTTTCTATTTTCTATTATACACACACACACACTTTGAAAAGTGGGGACATGGGGTAATGTCCTGAAAAGTCATCTTCTCCTTGTAATACCTATGTCATACCTTTGTCATTATACAAATGTATGTCCTCATTTGTCACAAAAACGCGCACG